TGTTCATGCTAATCCAATTCAAAAGATAATTGTCATAATTTCAATATTTGTATTAGTTTATATGTTTATGATAATTTCTTGAAGATTGATGATATGAATTATCTTGTTCTTATGAGTTAGTTTAGATTAATAGAAAAATTATGTGATAATTTGTTTTCGATCCAAATTGATCTAAAAGTTGTTCATAATATGTTTTTGTAACTTGTCCTCAAGTTATATGAAAAGTCTCATTTATGATTTTTTAAAACTCATAAGATTTCCATAAGTTATGAAAATGAAGAGTCTCATTGTTTAAATGTTTTAAAGTCTTCCATAACTTGTCCTCAAGTTATGGAACTTGAAGAGTTTTTTCATTAAAACTACTTTAAACTCATATGTTATGGAAACCAAAAGTTTTTTGAATTTTTCAAAACTTTCCCTCAAGTTTTGGAATTTGTAAAGTTTCCACCCATGAATAATTTAATTCCAAGTTAAACCCTTAGAATTTTAAAAGTTAAAATTCAACCCTTATACTATTATAATATTAATAGTTAATAGTTATATATATGTATAAGAACAAAGTCAGTCTTACCGTTAGTAGGCCTCATTCACGAAGCCGGTCTATAAGGGGTGTATAAGGTTACGACCTATAAAATGGCACTTTAATGGGTGTCCACTCTCACCCACCGCTTCCTTAACTGGTGGAGGGTCGTTAGTCGAACGGGTTTGACAGGACATTAATTCTCCTTTCATTAAAAGTATAATGATAAATATAAAGTAACTAAACCTTATTAAATTCCCAATCTTAGTTACTTTAGGAAAATGTGAATTTGGGTGCTAACCCATGAAATTACACTTTGTACCTTACCAAGTCATTGGTGGAGTGTGTGTGGGTAGCCGGCACACTAACATGGACTAGTAAGAGTGGCAAAGGGTGACTTAATGTTTATCATAGATCGGTGGAGCGTGTGTCGGTAACCGACACATCGATTAGGTGATAAAATTAAGGGTACCAAGTTAATTTGCATGGTTATTCACACCTTGTTTGTGATCCTCGGCATCCCAGTCACAAACTTGAGAGGGCACAATCGAGATTTAAACATGTTATTAAAAAGTTCAATGAATCTCAAAGGATCTAGGAGTTTCAATTCACTTAAGACCTAAAATTATTTTTCGTTTTTCGTGGTGGAAATTGGTAAATCGTCATTTACCTACCTTTGAATATTTTGTATCTTGGACTACGACATCCCTCTTCCAAGTTATAAAATATTGTGTTGGGTCCTAGCCTTAATATTTCATATTGGGTGTTATATTAAGGACTTAGATCAACTAACTTGAATTTCTCCCACATAGATGTCTAGTTCAGACAACTATGATCTTCCCAAATCTCTTGGAACAAGATTTCTCCATCTCCTCCAATAATTCTCCCTAACCCACAAGTTTAAAGACTTGAATAGTTCAAGGTCACTCAAGCCCTATTTGCAGCTCTATGTGCACTCACATCTTGGAGATGAAGTCACATATTGACAGGCTGGGAGAGTTGGGTGTCAAAGTCTCAAGGAAGTTGGCTGTTGATTGGGTTCTTCAATCACTTCCTAAGTCACATAGTGAGTTCTTTAAGGACTACTATGTAACAGACTATGACATGACCCTTAATGATCTTACCTATTTTCTTGTTGCTGGTGAATCATCAATGATTTAGGGCACTGATAAAGAAAATTTGATTGGAAGATCTACTTCCCAAACTTTCATGGACATAGACAATGGAAACATTAGAAGTCCAGAAAAGTCTTCTCTTCCCAATGGAAAGGGATTGGCCATAGTCAACCCGGTTGACCAAATGGTAAAGATAAAGGCTAAGTCTGAGACAGTCTCGTATACCATTACTAAAGAGTCCACTGCCAAAGAAAGGGGCATTGGTTGCGAAGCTGTCCAATTTACCTGAAAGTCCATAAGGATGGTAAAAGTCAACAAATTTGGCTATGCTTCAAGTAAAGTCCATTATCTGACTCTATTAAGTTTCTATTTTGAGATTCTTAATACATGATGTGACTAGGTTGCATTTTGATGTTTTGTATAATCAAAGAAAAGAGAGGAAACTTAAAGGAAGAATATGCTGATTCTGATCGCAAAGATGGATTTCGATCGCATGGTTCGGTGATCAGAATTTTGAGCTGTTGCTTAAGAGTTGTGATAGATTGCCTAAGAATAAATAACAACATTGTTTTCATATGCATTTGCATTGTAAGGATAAGTTTTTTTCCGCAAGTTTTTAAAATAAAAGAAAAAGTTTTAATTTTATTTATTTTAAATATCCTTACAATGGCATTTGTGAAAAATTGTTGTTTATATGATTCCATTGATAGCAATATTGGAAAATGGATTTGATTCTTTCGTTTGTGGTAGCGTCATAATTTAGCAAATAAGGAAAGATTCTCATCACCTAAGTTTCAGTTTGATAGAAACTTGGAATCATACAACTAGTATTGTATGATGAATGAGAATTTTCATCTTTGGGAAATTAAGACTAATTTCTTGTTCACATGTATATGTGAGTCAAGTGAAGGACTAGGAGATCGGGTACACTTGGTTGTGCGCTGATCAAGTCCACCACAAAGAACGATAAGGCTATTCGTCATGATTTACTAAAGTTTAGTAAATATGGTTATTCTTACAAGTTTAAGTATAATTCTGAAACATTGGAAAAGTTTCAATGTATGGCATGACGAATGAGAAGAATCAAATTAGACAGAAAGATAAAAGTTTATCCAATCTGAAAAGATGGGAGAGTACTTCAGTATCATGTTTTATGATCATCTTAATGATTATGAAAAAACAATATCACAATTGATCCTCTAAGGACATCTTAGTGCATTTGTTTGACTAAGAAGAGGAATCGTGAATTGTTGAAATGGTTAAATCAAAAAGATGAATCATATTTCGTTCCAAAATTGAGTCTTAGAGTAATACTCCAAGATTGTAACTTGAGTGACATAATCTTAAGAATGTTTGTAACACTTGTCAAATGTAGAGTAAAATGTTTTCTTACTCTTGTGCATTTGAAATTGGTAAGTTGTGATGTTTTAGATAAAACAGAGACCAACTAAGACCAATTGTGTGAAGTGTTTATCTTGATAAGTATTCGTACTAACTCTTGAATATTTGTTTTGTCAAGGAATGGTTCTTGACAAGAGAATCTTATATGTCAAGAGGTCAGTGGGAGTCTTAATGATCTTGAAAAGGGTCTCAAGAACTAATCAAGAATAAAACCTATTGTTTATCACTAGCACACGACTTGAGGTTTATAACCTATCGTGTTGACATATTCTTGTTTTCGTGCCCATTCCAGTTAAAGTTGACTGTGCATGTGAGTTATATGAGTTCTCAATTGTTTGCATAACTACTTGGAAGCAATGGTAGGCCCTTGTGCTGCCAGGTGACAAGAAGTTAAGATTGAACAAGTTCAGTCCATATGAGTTTGGATTTGTCACTAACCTTCTCTTGTGGTTGTGAAAAATTCACATGGATAGGAACACGTACACCATAAAATCTAAGTGTCATAAGGTTTGTCTCCGACTCATGAAAATGATGGTGAGGAAACGCTTTCGCTAAATAGATTTTAGGTAGATAGCAATTGTGATATTTGCATTCTCAAAGTCGTTAGTGGAGCGTGTGTGGTTAACCGGCACACTAACATGGACTTGTGAGAAATGGAAAATGTCTAAACAACTGAGACTATGATTACGACATCCCTTTTCATAGTTCTAAAATTGTTTAGACACACATATGAGCTATCTAAGGAAAGGTGTATGATTTTGGGAAGCTTAGATAAAGTATTATCAAAGCATCTCGTATTAGAAATCTGAACTTTGGTAAGAAAGTCAATAAGTATTGATTTCTAGAAGTCCAGTTGATTTCTGAGTACATGTCAAAGCTAGTGGGAGCATAATTGTTATGCTAGTAATTATTATGCTAGTAGGAGCACAATAAATTATGATAAGTGTTGCAAGTTAGCAATGTTAATTATAGAAAACAAAATTTTCAATTGGGAAAATTTGTTTTGCTATAATTAAGGGAGAGGAAATTATACTTCATTTCAATTCTAAAAGCTTAGATTGAGATTTTAATCATCTTTAGTCAAGGATATATAATATATATATATATATATATATATATATAATTATATATATATATAGATATATATATATTATATATATATATATATATATATATATAATTATATATATATATATATATATATATATATATATATGAATTTTTACTCGTTTAATCTATTTCTCTATACATTTGTACGAGCAATATGATATTTTGGAGCAACGTTAAAGCCACATTGAATACCTGACAGCCACGATTGAAGTCCCATAGCAAAATCCATGAGCGACAAGAAAAACAAAATGATATAAATTATTTTTCGGATTTTGACAGCGTTGCACCACCTTCTTCAAGAGATCCAATGGAGGGGCAATGTTCTCGGATGGAGCTGAAATTTTAAAGATATCTTCCCATCTTGTTGATTTTTGATATCACAAAAAATAAGTTGATTCCGACAAAATTTGATATGATTTTAGCATCTTCACATTTTCATACGCGGACATATAAAGAAAAATGGCGAGTGACCGGTTCATTGGGGGTGTTTCTCACTTTTTTTTTTTTTTTTTTTTTGGAACGATCAAATAATATTATCATTGATATTTTTATCACTGATTTTATTATCTTGTAATTAGTTATTTCCATTAGATTAGGTTAGGTTAAATTCAAGTTTTGTTCGTTAACTTTAAAAAAAACTAATTTTTTACGTGCTTATTTTTATGTATGTGTCGGTATAAATTCAAGTTGGTCAACGTTCCGATGTAAATTTAGAACTTTCGTTTGTCAATTCTAAAAAAAATGTTTTTTTTTAATTTACATGTTGATATAAATTTGAGTTTGTCTACGTTTTGACATAAATTTTTAACGTTTTCGTGCATATTTTTATACAAATATCCAACGTATGAGCCGGGTCACATATAATTTCCACACAAACCTGGATTGCCTTTTAAGGATGCGTTCACAAAGTTGGAGCAAAGGGGAACCAGACCTGTGAGTTCATTGTTGGACAGGTCGATGTCAATGCCACTAGGCAAACTAGTAAAAGCATTAGGAATAGAACCAAATAGTCTATTGTGAGAAAGATTCAACTTTTGTAGATTTTTCAAACTTTGAACTTCAGATGGTATCTCTTCTGTGAGCAAATTCTGAGATAAATCAAGTTCCGTAAGATGAACTAAGTTACCAATCTCAGATGGAATTTTCTCAGTGAGTTTGTTATTACTAAGATTCAAGTAGTGGATATGTTCCCATTGACTAATACTTTTTGGTATTGACCCATTCAATCTATTTGTGGATAGATCGAGTACTTCAAGAAGTTTTAAAAATCCGAGCTGTGGAGGTATAATACCTAAAAGTTGGTTATTAGCCAAGAACAAATTCAACATACTTTTCATCTTCCCAAACTCCTTTGGGATTTCACCTACCAAATGATTGGAAGAAAGATCAAGTCTTTGTAGTTGAGTTGAATTTCCAAACTCTGGTGGTATGCTACCACTGATGTTGTTATAGGCCATCACTAAGGATGTCAAATTCTTGCATTTACTCCAGTTTTGAGAAAGCTGCCCGCGAAAATTATTGTGACTGATATCAACGTATTTTAAACGTGGATAGATGCCAAAGCTATTGGATATATCTCCAATGAAATGATTTCGATCAAAATGAGCCCTAATTAAGGTTGGACAATTCTGTAAGCCTCTTGAAATACGGCCAGTGAGTTGATTACCATTTACTATTAACTTTTGAAGCTTTCCCCCATGGCACAAATCTTCAGGCAAATTGTCAGAAAAATGATTATATGACAGCTCAAGCCCAACTAGATTTCCCAATCCTTGTGGAACCGAACCAGATAATTTATTTTCACGACAAGACAGAAACAGAAGGTTGCTGAGGTTTGCAAAAGATGGAGGAATAAAACCATTAAGTTGATTGTTACTCACCGTAAGAGCAGTGAGAGACTTCAATTTCCCAAGTTCAATGGGAATGGGACCAGAGAGTTGATTTAGGGCCAAATAAAGGAAAATCAAAGATGTCAAATTACCCAATGATGAAGGAATTGAACCAGTTAGTTGATTGTTGCTCATCTCAAGATCAGTGACAGACTTCAAATTCCCAAATTCAATAGGAATTGGACCAGAGAGTTGATTGTGGTACAAATAAAGGACATTCAAAGATGTCAGATCACCCAACGATGGAGGAATAGAACCACTAAGTTGATTTTCACTAAAACCCAGATTAGTGAGAGACTTCAAATTCCCAAGTTCTGAAGGAATGAGACTAGATAATCTATTTTTAAAGAGGTACAGAGTCTGTAGGTTGCTGAGGTTTCCTAGTGATGAAGGAATAGAACCATTAAGTTGATTGTTACCCACCGCAAGATGAGTAAGAGACTCCAAATTCCCAAGTTCAATAGGAATGGGACCAGAGAGTTGGATTGTGGTGCAAATAAAGGACAATCAAAGATGTCAAATTACCCAATGATGAAGGAATTGAACCAGTTAGTTGATTGTTGCTAACCTCAAGATCAGTGACAGACTTCAAGTTCCCAAATTCAATAGGAATGGGACCAGAGAGTTGATTGTGGTACAAATAAAGGACATTCAAAGATGTCAGATCACCCAACGATGGAGGAATAGAACCACTAAGTTGATTTTCACTAAAACCCAGATTAGTGAGAGACTTCAAATTCCCAAGTTCTGAAGGAATGAGACTAGATAATCTATTTTTAAAGAGATACAGAGTTTGTAGGTTGCTGAGGTTTCCTAGTGATGAAGGAATTGAACCACTAAGTTGATTGTCACTAAAACCAATATTAGTGAGAGACTTCAGATTCCCAAGTTCTGTAGGAATGAGACTAGATAATCTATTCTTAAAGAGATACAGAGTTTGTAGGTTGCTGAGGTTTTCCTAGTGATGAAGGAATTGAACCACTAAGGTGATTGTCACTAAAACCAATATTAGTGAGAGACTTCAGATTCCCAAGTTCTGTAGGAATGAGACTAGATAATCTATTTTTAAAGAGATACAAAGTTTGTAGGTTGCTGAGGTTTCCTAGTGATGAAGGAATTGAACCACTAAGTTGATTGTCACTAAAACCAATATTAGTGAGAGACTTCAGATTCCCAAGTTCTGTAGGAATGAGACTAGATAATCTATTCTTAAAGAGATACAGAGTTTGTAGGTTGCTGAGGTTTCCTAGTGATGAAGGAATTGAACCACTAAGTTGATTGTCACTAAAACCAATATTAGTGAGACTTCAGATTCCCAAGTTCTGTAGGAATGAGACTAGATAATCTATTTTTAAAGAGATACAAAGTTTGTAGGTTGCTGAGGTTTCCTAGTGATGAAGGAATTGAACCACTAAGTTGATTGTCACTAAAACCAATATTAGTGAGAGACTTCAGATTCCCAAGTTCTGTAGGAATGAGACTAGATAATCTATTCTTAAAGAGATACAGAGTTTGTAGGTTGCTGAGGTTTCCTAGTGATGAAGGAATTGAACCACTAAGTTGATTGTCACTAAAACCAATATTAGTGAGAGACTTCAGATTCCCAAGTTCTGTAGGAATGAGACTAGATAATCTATTTTTAAAGAGATACAAAGTTTGTAGGTTGCTGAGGTTTCCTAGTGATGAAGGAATTGAACCACTAAGTTGATTGTCACTAAAACCAATATTAGTGAGAGACTTCAGATTCCCAAGTTCTGTAGGAATGAGACTAGATAATCTAGTCTTAAAGAGATACAGATTTGTAGTTGCTGAGGTTTCCTAGTGATGAAGGAATTGAACCACTAAGTTGATTGTCCACTAAAACCATATTAGTGAGACTTCAGATTCCCAAGTTCTGTAGGAATGAGACTAGATAATCTATTTTTAAAGAGATACAAAGTTTGTAGGTTGCTGAGGTTTCCTAGTGATGAAGGAATTGAACCACTAAGTTGATTGTCACTAAAACCAATATTAGTGAGAGACTTCAGATTCCCAAGTTCTGTAGGAATGAGACTAGATAATCTATTCTCATAGAGGTACAGAGACTGTAGGTTGCTGAGGTTTCCTAGTGATGAAGGAATTGAACCACTAAGTTGATTGTGATCTAACGTAAGAACAATAAGAGACTTCAAATTCCCAAGTTCTGTAGGAATGGGACCAGATAATCTATTATCATCGAGGTACAAATAATGTAGGTTGCTTAGGTTTCCTAGTGATGAAGGAATGAAAGCATTAAGTTGATTTTCACTCAACTGAAGATCAGTGAGAGACTTCAAATTCTCAAGTTCAATAGGAATGGGACCGGAGAGTTGATTTTGGTGCAAACGAAGGACATTCAAAGATGTTAAATTACCCAATGATGAAGGAATTGAACCAGATATATTGTTTAAGTATAGGTACAAGATGGTTAGCTGGTGCAGGTTTCCTATTTCAGGTGGGATTACTCCAGAAAACGTATTCAATGAAAAATCAAGATATACAAGTTTGGTCAGGAGTCGGATTTCTGATGGGATGGGGCCAGAGAAGTTGTTGACATTGAAGATCAAATGAGGACGAGAAAGGGAGAAGAAGAGAAGGAGAAAAAAGTGATTGATGAGAAGTAAGAGAAAGACTTTGTCATGAAATGAAAATGATGAAGCGTACCCTTTAAGCCAGATGAACTGAGGTTTAGCCTCTGAATGCTCCCATCAGCATTACAAACTACTCCAAACCATGAACTGCATGGAACTGATGCATTGGAATTCATAGGGAGGGGAAGCCATGAAGAGAGAAAGGAGTTGTTTGGGATTTCAAGGCTTGCTTTCCATTTAAGAAGAGCATTGGCTTCCTTCAAAGAAGCAGAAGTGGAATTTGGTATGGAGGAGAGTGTGATGATTAGTAGAGCAAGGGAGAAATATAAGAAGTTTGATGAAGCCATTATTTGCTTTAGCTGTTGCTGTATAAAAACGGATGGTTTGTATGTTCAATTTTATACTTGAGCTACCTTTTTATCTTGTATATTTTTTTATTTTCACATTCTACAAAGGAAATTTCGGCAATGTCATATTTTTCCACAAGGAGTGTCTTTTACATTATCCGTCAGCGTCATATTTTTCAACAAAGGATTGTATTATATTTTGAATTGTATCTGTCACGGCCTTAATCCTTTTTTCTTAGAACAATGAAATTCGTTGTAACACAAAATATTGCAAGGCACTAGGAATTACAAAAAGACAATGGTATTATATGTTATTGTCGAATTTAATAGCGTAATAATATTACTTCACTTGATTATATAGGCATATTTATTTTTGTTTTCTGATTAATGCTAGTAGAAGTACTTTCACTCAAACTGTGTTTTGCTTCATAAGCAGTGCTGTAACTGATGACTATTATGTAGCTGATTACCACGTCAAAACTGTTTGAATGGGTCAATGGAGATAGGGACATAAGGGTCCTTTAAAAGAATCTAAAAAGAAATGAACATTGTGTGATACTTGAAACGTGTGAATGAGGGAAAAGAGGATAAATATGAAGATAATTAAATAAAAACTTATGGTTCTTATTGTTCCCTGCATTTCTTACATCTCTTAATTTCTTTTATCTCCTGAAGTGACTAAAACGTCTAATTCTCATACTTGCGTCGTCTTAAAAATGGAAATAATTAAATAAAACTAATAATGAGAAACCAATGTAGAGTGTGGTTTACTTCTTAAATCAATGTTTTTTTAGCGAACGACTCTAATAATGGGTCAATGGTGATGGCCCCTTTATAAGAATCTAAACAATGAATGGACCTAGTCTTTTTATTGAACGTGTGAATGAGGTAAAGAAGATGATTTAAAAGGATAATGTTATCATTGTTTGGGTTTATTTCATCCGGCTTTATTATCATCTCCTAGAGAGTTAGTCACACAGTTTAAAATCTAAAGTCATTTTGTATTATGAACATGTAAAAGAAATCTGATTATAACACTGATTAAAAAATGAAAACAATTAATTAAATGGTGAAAAACAACTTTATCAGTATACATATAAAGAATTATTTTTTCTAGTTAAACTCAGAAGTAAATAAACATACGCGAAGAGATAGAAAAGCATGGGTACTTCGAATTCACCATCTGGTGCTGTGCCTTTTGCCCTTTTGGATACAAAATTTTACCCTGAATCTAAAAGAATTGGAGTAACCCTTGCGAAATCTGAAACTTCCCTCTGCTACTGCTTCTGCTTGACTTCTCTTTTCTAATTTCTTGTAAACTTACATATTTGCCCAATTCCGATTTCCCAAACTTTGTATTATCTTTTAGTTTCGTTTGCGACTTCTTGTCTATGTGATTTGGGCTAATAAACATAAAAAGTTACTTGTTGGGCCCCTTCTACATTTTGGGCCCTGTGCAATGGTAGCTTTAACATCACGCAAAACATATTCAACTTGAAAATAGTATTCAACCTCTAAAAATTGAAACTTTGTTAAAAAAAATCCCAGTATGTTATACATTTAAATGATATCGAAAAGAATGTTTGTAAATCCTCGAGGGATATTTAATTCAGCATTATACACATTTAAAAAAAAGCATATGTACTAAATCCAAAGGCCCATAAATCAACTAAAGCATATTCTTGTCTCTTACCCGGCTACATGATTTACCCAATCTGCTTTTTTTCTTTTTTTTTTTTTTTTTTTTTTTTTTTTTTTTTTTTTTTTAATTCTTTACACGATTGCATAGTTGAAACAAAAAAAGAACAATGTCTTTTTCATCCCTTTTTCAAGAACATTGTTGAATCAAACATGTAGTCGATCTAATTTGACTATTCTATTAATTGAAGAGGTTTTTGAACAAAATCGATTAAGATGTACTATGTTTTGAATTTTTGGTTAAACGACTATTATTTATTTTTTTTTTTCTTTCTCAAAACGTGAGGACATTTTCTCTTATTATAACTTAGTTATCATAGTACAACGAGTGAGAATGCAAACATGCAACAAGCTGTGTCACTAAGCCTTTTTGTATGGTAAAATCAACTTTTTTGAAGACTACATCCATAGATCTAGGGATATAACAGTGCTATGCATGATTCGTTGTACTCTATTAAGAAGTTTCACTGCATCCGTTGTGAGGAAACAAAACATATCATACATAAATGGTATGAACACGTGTTGATTTTCCATGCACGATTTCTCATGTTTTGTGATCTTGCATGTAGCAGCTTTTAAAGCAACCTGTTCCGGTTTGAAACCCCCAGCCATCAAGCCCACGAGAGGGAACCCTGTAAGGTCCACACATGTGTGTTTCCCTCCAACCTATCCAAAAATCAAAATGGCAGCCGGTCTAAGGATTGACCTTCTTTCTATAGGGTTAGTCAAGAAATTCATAGGTGCCTCTTTCTTGGCGGAAACCCTGACACGCTTAAATATGTCGAACAAAGCATCCCTAACCAAATCATACATGTATTTGAACCACGAGAGTTCTTTACAATGAACTGGATGCTCTCCAAAAGAGTTCAAATACGACTTGTGGCACACTAGACATATCTCGTCATCTAGAAATATTGGGATCATGAGCCGATATATAAGGATAGTATGATACTCCACAGGAGACATATGTTGGCCAAGCCCATCTATAGGGATAGCTAGAAGAAAATCTTGAGCATGTAGTGCACGTAAACACTGGAAAACAGCTTTCTGCCAAGCCGTCATGTCGAAATGCACTTCCATATCTTGGACAATTTTACTAAAAGGGGCACTCGCCAGTGTATTCTAGGATTTAGGGGGTGTCCTTAGTAGTAAAACTACTAAGGTCAATGTTCAGAAGTTTGTTATGAAGAGAAGCCAATGCACAAGCATAATCAGAATCCATACCGTATATGTCGATATCTCGTAAGATGTGGTCTTGCAACACCCAAGATTAGGTCATTAAGGCAACAAAAGCATATGAGGTTGCCTCTACTACCAAGTATAAAACCAAACCACCAAACCTAATGGGTAGGGTATCAATTCACCACTGTATGCCGTCAAAAAAAGGGTCACCACAAACCCCAATGTCCTCCATGTGAACGGGTTGGCATGTCCTCAGCCCAAAGAAAAGTTTAGCAATACTCACAAAAGACCGAAGCAGAAGGAGTTCACTATGGGGTCAGATAATTGTGGACGAAGACGCGTCACATTCACAAAATTTTTTGCTATCTTTATGGCTAAGCTGCTAATGAAACTAGCATCTCTACTAGCAGCTCCCCTAAGAAGTTTCACCCCCAATGGCGGTCTCCTAATCCCACCAGGAATACCCCCTCACGAAGCTTCCTACCATCACACGATGGCCAAAAGAGCTTGATTTTCTTGATATTCAACTAAAGGCCCAATTCTAGGCCAATCACCTTAATGATGTCCAACGCTTTGGCCACCTCCTCCAAATCTCTAATAAGTATGTCATCATCAAGGTACCATGCATGAAGAAGAAGCTTGCGATTGTCTCTAATGTTATGCAAGAGTGGGTGCAATACAAGGAAAAATAGCAATGGTCCCAAGGGGTCTCCTTGCAGAACCCCAGTAGTAGACCAAATATGTGTGTCTCCTAGATACAACCTAGATGCTTGACCATATAGGAATTCTACCCAAAAGTGTAACACCCAGAATCAGAAAGACCAAGAAAGGAAAGGAAACCCTAAGTCAAAGGGGTCAACTCGTCGAGTCTAGGGAAGAACTCGACGAGTCGGAGCAGGTTCCGTGCCAAAGATTAAGTGACCGACTCGGCGAGTCGGCGAGTGGACTCGCGAGTCTGGTCTGGGTTTGGAAAACCTAATTCCGGGACTTGGTACCCTATTTAAGCATCTTATTCTCTTCCCTAAGGCTCATTTGCGACCCATATTGTCCAGAACTCGAAACCCTAGCCACCCAACTCCATTGTTGAGCTAGTTCTTGCCTTGAGAGTTGGGGTAGCATTTCAGATCATTTAGAGGTAAAAAGCTTATACCTTGACTGTTAATCATCTAGATCCCCTTTCTAGCATAGATTTTGTCACATTTGGACAATTTCCAAGGTCAATCCGAACATTGAGCCATTGAGGACGAAAAGGAGTTAAGATCTAAGCATTTCTGAGCTCTAGAAGCTCTGAGGGGGCAGCTTTACCCAGCCATGGCTTCATTTCATGACCTAGGCCTTCCTTGTAGCTTGGATTAAGTGTTCTAGCCTCATAATACCTTGCATGCACGTAAAGTTAGCAACTTTACGTGCGATGCTAGCATTGGAAGTTCAGATCTATGGGTTGAAGGTGTTGCAATGGACTGTAATCGACAGAAAAGAGATGTCACAAGGTGGACTCGGCGAGTCAGCTCATGGACTCGGCGAGTCGGGTCGCAAACCCAAACCCTTCTGTTTATGATTCGGATCAGTGAGTGGAGTTAGTAAAGGATTCAACCAGACTGGGTCCGTAATAGACATGAAGATCATAGTACTCGACTAGTTCGAAGAGAAACTCGGCGAGTCCAAGACAATCTTCTTAGTTATGAAGATGAACTCGACGAGTTGTTCATACAACTCGGCGAGTCATGGCCTAGATATTCATGCGATGATGATGAACTCGACGAGTTCAAGGATGAACTCGGCGTGTCGGTTGAAGATAGTCCCGAAGTGTTAGATGAAGGAGAACTCGTCGAGTTCTCGCTAGACTCGACGAGTGTAGTCGGGGTTGTTTTGGGATTTAAGGAGCATGGACTCGGCGAGTTGGCAGAACAACTCGACGAGTCGGGTCAACTGGAAGGTTGACTTTGACCAGGACTTTGACCTTGAGAAGGACTTTGACCAGAGTTGACTTAGTTGACTTCTTGAGGACAGTTAGGCTAACTGTTACTATTATTTGGTATTGGTAGCTCGGGGAGCTAGAGGAGCAGCAGTTCGGAGAGTTGTTGGATAGCAGCCAGAGGGTTATCAGCAGTTTCAGTAGT